GACTCAAGTGGATGTGCTAGCTTATACACGCCAATTGGTCCACGTGAGGGTATCCAAGGATGGGGTGTCCAGTTTGGTCACTTTTGTGTATGCGAGCCCCAATGCGAACTCTCGTCAGACTTTGTGGGCGATTTTGAGGAGATTGGCGACTCAAATCTCTGACCCATGGCTAATTGGTGGTGATTTTAACTGCCTTATTCGTCGGTCCGAGAAGCAGGGTGGATCGAATGCGTTTTGTAATGTTAGTCAGGACTTTGCTAATTGGCTGTTCGATTATAACATACAGGAGATAGCCACGGACGGCCACCATTTTACGTGGACAAGAGAGACTCGTGCGGGTGTAGTGGCAGAAAAATTGGACCGTTTTGTGGCCAACATTCCTTGGGTCGAGAAGTTTGAAATGAGTCGGACTCGCCTCTTACCGCGGGTTCAGTCGGATCACTCTCCTCTCATGTTGGAACTTGGCAGGCCTTTCCCAATACCACGTGGGGTGAAGCCTTTCCGCTTTCTGGCTGCTTGGCTTACCCATCCGGATTTTAAAGACTTGCTACGTAACACCTGGCCAAACTCAGGATACCTTGCGGCGTCAGAGAGTTTTACCATGGCCGCGCGAGAGTGGAATCACAATGTGTTCGGTAATATCTTCCAAAGAAAAAGAAAACTGTTGGCCCGCCTGGGAGGAATCCAACGCAGCCGTCACATTAATTATCACCTTTTCAGACTTGGTAAACAACTCCAAGCCGAATTGGAAGACGTCATTCGACAGGAGGAGATGTTGCTTTTACAGAAAGCCACAAGAGACTGGAGCTATTTAGGGGATCGAAATACGGCTTATTACCATCGCCAAATTAAAAACCGGCGACGTAAGGGGCGCATCACTGAATTAATGGATGCTGCCGGCACCCCCATCACGGATCAGGAGGAATTAAGTCGACTGGCTACGAAATTTTTTAAAGACATTTGCTCGGCTGAACCACGTCCTCTGCCACTCGTGAGGCCAGAATCACTATTCCCTCGTTATGACGATAATGTAATGTGTGGATTAGAGGATGACATCACGGATACGGAGATTACAACGGCGTTAAACAACATGGGTCCGCTCAAAGCACCAGGGAAAGATGGGTTGCACGCCTTATTCTTTCAGCAAAATTGGACTGAGGTAGGCCCGACTGTTATACAATTTTTAAGAGACATGTGGCACCAGGGGTATGTCCCACATCAAGTCAATCAGACCTTGCTGGTATTGATCCCAAAGGTGGAGAACCCGAGCTCTATTCGGCAATTCCGCCCGATAAGCTTGCTGAATGTGATATACAAATTATTCACTAAGGTGTTGGTGAACAAGCTAAAGAGCACTCTACCCCTACTGATCCATCCGGCCCAAGCCAGTTTTGTCCCGGGACGACAAATTACGGACAACATCATTACGGCGCAAGAATTAATCCATACGATGCGTGGCAAACGGGGGTCGACGGGATTCATGGTCATTAAAGTGGACCTTGAAAAAGCATACGACTACTTACGCTGGGATTTTATAGAGGAAACATTACATCTCGCGGGCTATCCTGACAAGCTTGTCCGAGCAGTGATGGCCTGCCTTACCTCTGCTTCGATGAGCTTATTATGGAATGGGACGATTGGCGAGGAATTTCTCCCCACTCGCGGTGTCCGACAAGGCGATCCCATATCCCCATATCTATTTGTGCTCTGCATGGAACGTCTGGCTCAAAGCATATGCCAAGCGGTGGAGGCCTCCTCTTGGCGCCCCATATCGGTTGGCCGTACGGCCGTTACCGTCCCGTTTTTGATGTTTGCCGATGATCTTCTTCTCTTTTTGGAGGCCTCGGAGGACCAGGTGCGTACTCTAGGGCAGGTTCTCGACAGTTTCTGCGCCCGATCCGGACTTAAAGTTAGCTCGGAAAAAACACAGGTTTTCTTTTCCAATAATGTTCCAATATCTGAACGGCGAAGGTTATCTACTGCTCTCAACTTTAAGCTCACAGAGAATTTAGGGAAGTACCTCGGCATGCCAGTCCTACATAGTAGGATGAATAAAGCTACTTATAACCATATATTGGAAAAGACAGACTCTCGGCTAGCCGGTTGGCGCATGAAGACTCTTTCTTTGGCCGGGCGAGTGACACTGACGCAGTCCACCTTAAGCACACTTCCCTTCTACTCAATGCAAACAACCGTGCTACCACGGGGAACTACAGAGGCCCTGGAAAAGAAATACCGCGCTTTCATCTGGGGAGGGACTGATGACCGGAGGAAAATACATCTAGTGGCATGGAACGGCGTGTGTAAACATAAATCTGAGGGCGGTCTGGGTATACGAGATCTCCGCCGGATGAACGACGCACTCCTGATGAAAGTGGGCTGGGGGTTACTAACTAAACCAGAGTCCCTGTGGGTCCGCGTAATCTCGGCTAAATATGGTCTTCGGTTAGCGGATAATATAGAGTTGGGAAATGGACAGTTAGCTTCACATCTCATGCGCGGGCTACGTAAAATGTGGCCGCGTGTGTTAAATGGTGTCCGCTGGATTTTGGGAAATGGTGAGAAGGCACGTTTCTGGCTTGACTCGTGGCTCGATTCTAGTGGGCCGTTAGCGCGATTTATTAGTGCCCAATCTCCATCAATTAATCTTCAGGCTGTAGTTGCAGATTTTGTGGACTCGAATGGAGGGTGGCAATGGCAGTGCTTTCATGGCATCTTGCCCTCGTCCGTCATTCTCCGAATAGCGGGAACGCTTCCTCCACGAGCGGACGCTGGAGGAGATCGTATTACATGGAAGTACTCTGAAAATGGCAGCTTTTCGACTAAATCAGCTTACCGGTCCTTGGGGGTCATTGAGCGCGATGAAGATCACCTTTTGTGGAAAACCATTTGGCGTCTCCCCGCCCCGCAACGTACGCGCACCTTTTTGTGGATGGTCGCTAAAGAACGTATCCTCACGAATGCTGAACGCGTTGGGCGACATCTTACAGCT